GGAACTCTTTCCCATAGTTGCGTTATACATTTGGCATATGTATATTTGTTACCAGTCTGACATTCGAGACTTTTGTAAATCACTGACGAGACGCAGCAAACCACGCCGTGAGTATACCTCAACAGTATTATATGTAACCGGGGGGGGGGGGGTAGTTCTTCGGGATTCCAATTTTTAGGACGTATTCGGCAGGGCCGAGGGAATGCTTCACAAAAAAATACTATTGACACGGCAACACGTTCATCTGAACACGTATTCACGACTGGGGCACAATGTAAGATATTTTCAACTAATCGCAGATGCGCTGATTAACATAGTTACATGCGTTGACTGCCTACAATTTAACATCGATTGATGTAGCGTAGTCTGTAATTAAATTGTATGATCGTTGGTAGCAAACTAATAACGAAATCATGTCACAAACTTCTTTTGTTTTTAAATTTACTCGCTTACCGTGTCGACGTCAAAGGGACTTGATGGTAATTGTAGTTTACGATTCTTAAGATCAGTGTTGTTAGGGGCGTGTATTTCTTGTTAATTTGTAATTTTTGATTTCTGTAAATATTTAGAATGAAGTGGAAAATACTAGGAAAAAGAATGTTACTAACGAGACTTATCAAGACTCAGTAAAACTAGAAAATGCAGCCGAATCGTCGCATTCAAAAAAACGTCGGTATTTGGCACCTTTGCATACTTATTTCGATGGCGGACCAAATTGGGCATTCTGGACGTTTCGCTTTGAGCTACGGCTCGCCATACTTCAGAACCGAGCCATCGTCGCGACGCCATTCCGCGTACACGATAGGCTGGAGCTCAACAGGGTGCACACTATGAAGACCCTGGAAGACACCTTCGATGTTGAGAAACTTCGAGAAATTGTGCCAATAGTTTCTATTGAAGAGTTTTACGAGGACTGTAAGGACGAACTTATCCCGGAAATTAAATGGACTCCATTTTTGTTGATTCAAAACAAAACAATGCCAAACCTCGAGCGATTTCTGAAAATGCAGAAAGTTGTTCACGAGATCAAAGGACGGTTTCCAGAAAAGGACCGCGTTACAGAGCAGAATATTGACAACAAACAAGCGAACGCCAAGTTTGTGAATGGCACATGGAAGACTCGTTGCCTCGCCATTTATGCGGATGAGGATATTCGATATTTAAGAACCTACGCTGATAGTCAACTGTATGCCAAAATTGACAGTCACACTGCCTGGGCTCCATATATTCGTGCAATGGTTGATCAGGTGTACGACAAGATCTGTGACGGGAAACCATTCCCCGTCGTGCATTGGCGAAACCGAACCGGTGAAAAGTGAGTATAAGTTTTAGAAACACGTTTCAAAGAGCGATATCTTATGTTGATTTCAATCTCGAAAAATTGGTTTATCGCACGCAGTTAAGGTAGCGAGACTATTATTTGCATACTTGTTTTTATCTTATAATTGTGACTAAATGGCTACAAAAAGACCCAGAAAAGTATGTTTTTATGTTTTATACGGAATTTTTCCAGATATTTCTTACAATCCTACCAATAGATGCAAATATAACATCATGATGTCAAAATCAGCTGACAATCACAGAGATGTGATTACATTTTTGCAGCTTATATTCCATAAAAAATGTCGATTTGATTTTTTTTTTACATTTTGGTGTTTATTTTGGGAATCTATGCATCCACACCCTCAATTGCATAGAAATAAACTGAACTTATTCCTCAGCTCCTGAGAGCGAGGTTATTTGTAGATATGTTGGCGATCGCCGCTGTGTCTGCGGAAGTACTGTGGGAGATTGCATGATGGGAGTGAAAAGTCTTTTGATCAGTAAGATAATTTTAGAAAAGTGAAAACTTGAGTGACTGTGAAATAAAGGTTGGTTTTAAATATAAAATATCATGGATGAAATAATGAAAGGAAATTGAATGGGTATGAAAGTAAATGTGGCAAGAATGCAAGGTCAGGTTCCGGGGGTCAAAATACGTCACAATACATCCATCATCATCCATCGCCTGTCAACAACTATGGATGCGGTAAAATTCTTGATTTGTAGTTTGCGTGAATGGCCGGGAAAAATCATGCCAATTCTGTGCTTCAGTAAGAGTATTTGCTGCTTTTTTGTGCAATGGAAATTAATTCATAAAATGCTGTCAAAGGATATTTCCTTCTAGTAAACAAAACAACCCTGGGACGTTTATCTTGAGAAATTTAGAAGACGAAAATCTCTTGGGACAGTCGTTCTTGTGAAACAATGGACCTACTTCTCCAGGGTATCAAGGGTAGTTTTGATTATTAAAAAAGGGAAACTGCTGCTTTATGGAAAAGCAAAAAAATGTCAATGTCAT